ACTCCAAGAATTCTCTCCTTGTAATTGTCATCCATATCCCAGCACATGCTGGACCCCAACCTCCCTTCATTCTTGATCACTTTCTTGTCTGTAAATTGATCAATTTCCAGCAAACATTACCTCAGCTTCAAAAAAATATAAGCTCCCTGAACTGGTTGTTTGGAAATTTTACTATTATTATTATTCACATCCAGAATTTTTATTATATATATATTATTATTATATATATATTGTAATTGGGCAACAAAGTCTAATTCCCCAGGGAAACAATGTTAATGTGTTATTGTGGTATTTTTAATACATTTTAATACAGTAATAAAACTTCTTGTTATTTACCTTCCTCTAATTTCTGTCCCACTGTCTGTCTATGGTTAAATATCATTAATTTTGGCCTACAGATCTCCCTGCCTTGAATCTTAAAGTGAAAAATAGCATGGCTGTAATAAAAAAATACCAAATATATACAGCCATTTATAAAGATGTAGGAATAATAACCTTCTAGAAGATAGCCTGCAAATATCTGCCAGATGAAATAAATACTCCAAGATAATCTTCCTAGTTATTAAATGAGAATTCATCTAGTTATTTATTTTTCTCCGGGGTAAATGAACCATTATAAGGCCAACTTGTTTTTGTGGTTTAATGTTTTCATCATTGATGTTTCTTACAACCTGAAGCCATTATGATGACTCACATGCTCTCAGACTTCAGAGACAAATGCATACTACATGTACTAAAACTTGGTACATATCATTCTCATCATCTTAAATTGGACATGTCATAAGAAAGGCTCCAAAAAATACACCCCACAAGAAAGGAAATTAATGGTCCTTTATGACTCCAGTAGTTGAATTCATAAAATTAAATCCTAAAATTCTTTGTAGTGATGTACTTGTTCTTTTATAGGCCTGGCTAATCTTATTATGGAGAACAAGCACAGGAATATTGCCTTACAGTGGAAGGATTTGGGTTTCTCTTTATTGATTGAGAAGCACGCCTAACTAGTTTTTTTTTCTGTAAAATTACAGGTTTGAGTTTTGGGGTTTTTTTCTAATGGTCTCTCAGCTGAAACATTTTGAGTTTGCTGCTTTTTGTTTTGTTTTATTTTGTTTTGTAGGGTTTCTAAAGAAACTTTCAGTTCAAGAGATCAAATATGGGACTCCTGATCTTATAGACCCAGAATAAGAAAACCCCCAGGCAATGCAATAGAAGAATGATTGGGTTAGAAGCTTTGGGAAGATTTTCACATATGTTTATGTGGTTGACTTCAAGTGCTCCAGGATCATAATATGTATGAATAGAACAATTTACAGCATCCAAGCCAAAAATTATAAAATAAGCAAAACAGTCATCTTTACTCACTTAAACATCCAAATAAACTCATTCTGCTCCTTAATTTGGAAAACATTACTTAGAAATCTAGATAGCTTCTATGACTAGCAGGAAGCAGACCATTCTTTTAATTTTATTAAAAAATGTTGATGACTTATCGGCACTTTCATCACAAATTACTCATTTGCAGGTGAAAAAAAAAAAAAACAAACATGGAGTTACTGGAAATCTAATTGGTTATCAGTAGTAAAATGGTGCAGTAAAAAGATTTCCTGGACCAATATCTGACTTGTTTCAATGCAAGCATAATCCTGCCTACCTTTATCCTCAATTCAGGCAAAATTATATCGAATTATATAATCATAAATGTTGGAAATTACCCTCAACATCACATGCAACCTTCAACCAATAACACCACGACCACTAAATCATAGCACAATATGCCATGCCCACCTCATATATTGATGGTGTTGGATGGTGATGCTGATGGGAGCCTGTTCCAATGCTCAGCTTCTCTTTCAGGGTGGAAAGTTCTCCCAGTCTAAACCTCCTGGTGCAATTCAAGGGCAATTTCCCCTTCTGTCTCTTGTTCCCTGGGAGCAAAGACCAGCTCCTCCACCTGGCTTCAACCCTATTTCTGGCAGTGGTGGCGAGGGAGAAGGTTCTCCTTGAAACCTCTTTCTCTCCCAGTACCCTCAGCTGCCACTAATGGAACTTTGGCCCCAGAGCCTCCCACCATTCTTTGATTCACTTGGTTTCTCTGCTGGCTTGCTTCTTGAGTAGAAATTCATTATGTGCCCATCTGTCACCCTGTTCTACCGAGCTGCACTATGGACACTGAGTGCCCTCTCTGCCATCTCACTTCATGCTAAGCAGCAAAGAAGACAATGAGGTGGGTTTAATGATTTATTTTATTAGTGAAAATAGCAAAAGTCTAAGCAAGCAAGAGTGTCAAGGGAAACCTGCAGGCACCCTGAGCAAGGGAAAGGAACTGTGGTCTGAAAAATGAGAGAAATTTTTGCTTTTCATCACAATTATGTCCTTTGTTTTAAACAATGTCTGGGATATCTGGTGAAAATAGCATCCTCCATCTCTGAATGTGCATACCTGACAAAAGGATTATCACTTGTTTTGCAGGAAACTGAAAATTATTGTGAAAAGAGTGTGTGAGAAGCCTTATAGTTTATTACTGAGTTTATTATCTTTATTTTGCTCTTCTTATCTGAAGACAATCTTGTGAACTTTTTCTTATTAAGGTTTCTAATACATGAATGTTCCACCTGATACTGATAATACTACTATAATTGAGACTGTGGACATCTGGAGTGAAATGCTCTATCCTTTTAAATCTACATGCGATTTTTATACCACTCTAAATAAAAGCAGGCTTTCTTTCTTTCTTTCTTTCTTTCTTTCTTTCTTTCTTTCTTTCTTTCTTTCTTTCTTTCTTTCTTTCTTTCTTTCTTTCTTTCTTTCTTTCTTTTTTTTTTTCTTTCTTTCTCTTTCTTTTTTTCTTTCTTTTTTTTTTTTTTTCTTTCTTTTTTCTTTCTTTCTTTCTTTCTTTCTTTTTCTTTCTTTCTTTCTTTTTCTTTCTTTCCTTGTACACAATCACACAATATATTTACTTTAGGATTATTAGGTGTAGAGTAATGCCCAGAGGCACATTGAAACATCTACTTAGTGGCACTGTGGTAAATTTATGGAGGAAAGACAAATAAGAGAAGAAACAGGCTTGGTGGAACACTAATCCTAAAATCTTCCATCCAACACCTTTTTATGATAAAAAACCCATGTATTTTCCCTTTTATTCGCTGTTTTCATAGCTTGCTTTCAAGTAATTGTATGCCATTGGGAGTAATAAATACTGCATCAAATTTGTCACCTTTAAAAATAAGAAAATGAAAATAAGAAAAAAAGGAGATTAGCACTGATGTCAGTCTTTGAAAAGATTACTGTTTTATCATCCTCTTTTAAGACTTAAATTAACCTGCCCTAGTCTCATCAAATGCTGTAAATGGAAACTGGTATTTAGAAGCTATTCACTTTAGTGATCTGTATTTGCCTTCAGTCAAGGAAGCAGAGTAGAGGTTCCCCAGAAGAAATGTACCTAAATGTACCTCACAGACATCTTTTGGGCAGGTTAATTCACCCAAATCCCTTCTCCTGTAAGGACAAGTGGTGTAATGTTCTGTTTAGTTTTGTTCCAGTGGTATAATTAGCAGGGATATAACAAAGACAGTGAAGGAATACAAATACTAAATTCCTCCCCCTCTTTAAGGAAGGCTTACTCCCTAGAGGCAGGTATGCCTGACATGAAAGCACAAGGAAGAGGCAAAACACCTGTAAAACTGCTGGGTTCGGGCCCTGGAGAACTCCTGAAAGGAGGGTCCCTGGGCAGCATCATGCACTATCAGCAATTGTCTGTGCCAGCTGCTCCCAGCTCCCCCGTCCACAGAGCAGCACCAGCCTGGGTTTGCTTAAATCCTTGTCTACCTGGATCACCAGGTTTTCAGCAGCTGAGAGCAAGACACAATGTCTTGAAAAGAGTTATGTCTTATTCCAGAGATATGATGGTTGGTATGCAAAGAAAAATGCACAGGTAATGGAGCAGAAGGAGTTTTGCTGTCACTGGCTAAGCAGACTGATAGCTCTTTTTTCCCGCTTTTTTCTGCGTTTCAAGCCAGCTCAGCAATCCCACACATCCTCTTCTGTGGCTTCTGGAGATCAAGCAAAACAGTATTTGTTGTCAGTTAAATAAAAAGATAACGTTTTCATGCATACACATACACACACACATACGCACTCATCCTCCTCCTTGAACACACATCATACTGCATCATATATGTTTCAAAAATTTGAGTCACCAATGTTTTCCGGTAGAGCCTCTGTTTTGTAGAAACTCGAAACATTATTTACTCAAAATGATGGGATTAAATTCATTTCAGTTAGCATGATATTAATCTTTGCTCTCTGGTTTAAATCCATGGCTTTAGGGCTAATTACTAAACTTGTGTGTTTTGGAAAATAGGCCTCATTTTTCGCCCACTCTCTGCCACCTTTTTCTCCCAGAACCTTGCTCTTCTACTCTGCATTTTGAGATTTTCTTATAAATTCGTCTCCCCATCAAGGGCTGAGGGTTCTTCCCCAACTGACATTTTAGCACACAAGTCCATTCAGTGTCTGCATTATGCCCACACATTGACATGAATTAGAGAAGCAAAGAGAAAGGAGTTTGGCACATAGCATGATAACAAGAATTTACCAATTGCCATGCAGCTGTAGTGGATTTCCTTTGTTGTGCCCCAGGGCCTCAGTAGAGGTTTATGAAGAATGACATTTCCTGACTTTTCAGTTTTTGAAAGTCTGCCTTAACTTGTCAGTTTGTAACTTCCAGGCAACTTTGGTGGCATCCTTCTATTCCCTTCAGCTTTTCCAAATATTTTCTGTATTTTTGAAGAGCTCTTACCATAGCTGCTTTGAGACATTTTTCCTGAATTCTTTCTTCACTCGCTCCTTTCCCATTTGTATCTCTCTTGCTTATGAACAAAGTTCTTTTCATCCTGTTTTTTAGGCCTTTGCCTTATAGAATCCTCCTCCTTTCTCACTATGGTGAGTGCGCCATATTTTTTCCCCATTAAGGCTCCATTGATTTTTCCTATGTTTTTTTCCTTTTAAATGAGGTCTTCTTCCCCAAGAGTGCTTGAGACACTCATATAGATGTTTATTGCATTTTATCTTAAGACACAAGGTGGAAAAGATGAGCAGCCAACACAGTAGGACACACCTGCCCTGAAGCTGAGACATGGTCCCCAGGTCTTGGATCTTACAGCTATCTCGAGGAGTACAGTACAGGCACTGCTGTCTAGCCTTAATTAGCATAAAAAATAAAAGTATAAAGGCAAGGAGAAATTAATAAATGCCATTATTTAATCAGAATCTAGTCAAAAACATTGTGTTAAACAGAAGTGAGAAATCCATCCAGAACTCAACAAAAACATCTTTGTTAGAGTTTATATTTTAAAGATAACAATATTAAATTCTATTTAGAATATGAATAATGTAAAAAGGCAAAGTGGAAACTTCTTAGATAAAGTCATTTAAACTAGCTGCAAATCAGAATCTGTGTTAGGGTAATCATGAATCGGCAGGAGAAAAGAGATAACAAATTATCATATCCTTTTTTCCTCCAGGTCCTTCACCACAAGGAAAAATATAGAGCCCATCTCAAAGATAATTTTCTTTTACATGAAAAATTAAAATATTTCAGTAGCCACTGTAGAGTAAAGTGTGGAGGACAAAAGAATTTTTCCCCTCTAAATATCATGCAAGATACGATTCTGCCAAAGAATCAAATCCTCATGGAATAATATAAGAAAAATACTTCTGAATTATAAAGTCCATAAACCACTGCAGAAGAAAATATATTGGGCTTTGACTTCAGTATTTCAGTTCAGAATATTCTGGTTTTCAACCAAAGTCTGAAAGACTTCAATTTATGTGGGTTCATAAAGTTATTTTTTTTTTTACTTTTTAAAATATTAAACATTTCCACAAAGCATAATCTTGTCACAAAAAGAAGTCAACCTTTAGAAACACCTAAGTCTAACCAAACCTTACTGTCTCCAGCCATGAAAAGGTCTCCTTTATCTTCCCAGTCCTGGAGTTTTGTTGTTGTTCATTTTTCAGATGTCAGGTTCTGATTGCTTTTATTTTAGCTTCTTATCACTTTGTTGTTCTTTTTCCTTTTTATTTTTTTTTTTCTGGGGAGTTGTTGATGTTGCTGATGCATTTCACTTGATACACCTTGTTTATATTTATCTCAGAAATGAACACCAAAAATCTTTGTGGCATACACATACATGTATACATGCAGACAATGTCTCACACACACACTTATGTATGTATTTTTATATAAATATATATATTTATATGTACATACCTCAACTAATGATGTTCAATCTGTTCCAGCGATGCATACATTCAAATGTTTATTCTGCTGATATTGAAGAAGACTGGCTTTCTTAGCAACAAAACTATTGTAAATGCCTTAAAATTAAACAACAAGCTTCAGGTAAAAAGATGTATGCACAGCAAAAAGCTATTACCTACAAGACCATATCTGCCAGAAGGCAAATACTCTGATGTTCAAAGACAGAATGGAGAAGACAACATATTCCAGCTCTGAGCCCTTTTGATGCATCTCCCTTACACACATAATAAAGATTTTTGGATCAAGGTGATCCAAAAATCTTTCTTTCTACTAGAGTAATCAAGCTCTACATCATTAACCTTTCTGTTTCCTGGCAGATAATCTGGGAGAGTAGCAAGAGACTACTCCTCCAGGCTTTGGAGTCAAGCCAACACAATTACTCTCACCCTGTTCTTTGAGGTGGCAGCTGCAGAGAGATCAGGATGTGGAAAACAACCATGAAATCAAAGGGTTACAGATTTTGGAGCCAACTCTTCATCTGCTGATCAGCCAGAGCTCCTAACTTGGACAACAAAACCTCGCAGCTCACTGTCCATGATGAGAAGTTACAAACCATCAGTCAAGTAAAAAATGCCTTCACAAAAGTCTAATGTTAGCCCTACTGTCCTTCCACCTGTCTTTATTTTCTGGTGCTGGTGGTTGTGGCAGTAGCATGAATATGTGTCAGAGCCAAAAGTATGCTGTCTTGAAGATTCTGTTCTCCTAATATGTCTATTTGGATAGTGTTATTGTATAAAGTCTACTGACATTCTGCCAAGTGCCAGCTTAGATTTTTGGAAATGGTATGCACTCAGAAATGTTTATACGCAGACTAAAAGTGCTTCCCCACCAGAATGCTCTCACTACTATGTAGTGAAAATGGCAGCTCTTTCGTTTAGTGATGAACACAGTTAAGGAGAAAGTGATCACCTGTGAAAGGTAGGTAGCAAAAGGAGGCGACATCTGAGTCATTGTCCAAGATCTGCAGCTTCATAGGACATGAATAATTTCATTACATGGAGGCTGTGATATCTTCAAAGGAGTTGCTGAAGCATTCAGTAGGAGATAGAATAAATAAATGTATAAAGGAAAAGAGGAATACAGAAAGGTGAAGTAATTTATCCAAGTCATGCTAATCGTGTTGGGCAGAGAAAAGATCCTAGACTCTATATCCTCAGCCTGTATCCCAGTTGCTAAGCAACTGTCCTGAATGTGAGGGTGCCCAAAGCACAGTATATTAGATGCTGTAACATTGGCACTCTGACACCTCATGCTTTCATTCATGCTGTATCTGAGGTCTAATAAAGAAAAAGAAATGGGCCTCCTTGTCTGTCTGTGGCTTCAGCTCTCCTGCATTTAGTCTCTTAAATTAAGCCCCCAAATTAGAGGGCCAGCTGAGCTGTAAGTTTCCTTACCAGCAGATGTAAAACATCATCACTCCAGTGGGGAGTCGTGCCACCTCAGCTCTGAAGGATTGCAAGCAGGTCTCTGTCTATGTGTCTCACATGCGTTAAGGAGGGTAAGAAGGGTGATTAGGGTGATTAGGCTGCTAGCTCAAGATGTGTCAGCCATAGGCATAATATCACATGAGATCTATCTTTGCTTTTCTATCTTAAAATTCTGCTGAAATGCATATTTCATCACAGTAAAAAGAAAAAAATGGCTCAAATGCTTAATACCTAGGAAAAAATAACTGGAAATGTTCTGATGGACAGAAATGGATTCATAAAATTACCAGGCCAATGTCTGGAATTCTTCCTTGACAGTGTAATTACATGGCACATCTGCTATATCTGACTTCTGGATGATTTTCAGTTGGCAATGTGTAGGCATCCATTAACCAGCAAATATAGCTCATAGGCCTAAAATGACAGCCCTGCCTTGCCTAAAAGGCATCAAGACTAGGCAGATGATCTCCAACAATGAATTCCACATGAATTTGCAAGGGAGCCAAAGAACTGATGGTGAAAGTGCTGAAGGGCAGAGTGAAGTGGCACAGGCTTCCCTGTTCACAGCAAGGATTTGTCAAATGGCCTTTGTTTGCACAGTTCCCATGCACTGCACTCCAAGAATCACAGAGCTTTCCAGGTCACCATGGCTGCACAAATGGAGAAAAGCTAGAGAATGGTGTTAGAAGTCGCCAGAAAAGAACGTGAACTGGAGAACTGAAGCTGAAAAGTCAAGATTTCGAAGGAGATCCCTCAAAGTTTAGCTTAAATCTGATCTGCATAAATCTAAATTATTTCATATGGATTTTTTTTCACAACCACCAAAACTCATGGGCATCTAAACTTGTAAGGCATTTTTCTTCTCAGTCTAAAGACACATTTGTATGTGAACATCTCAATTAACAGTCCCAAGGACATAATGATAGAACAGGGGGCAATGGCTTCAGAATGTGAGTAGGTTTAGATTAGATGTTAAGAAGAAATTTGTGACTGTGAGGTGGTGAGGCCCTGACACAGATTGCCTAGAGAAACTGCAGATTCCACATTCCTGGAAGTGTCCAAAGCCAGGTTGGATGTGACTCTGAGCAACCTGGGATAGTGGAAGTTGTCCCTGCCCTGGCAAGGGCTGGAATGAGATGAGACTTAAGGTCCCTTCCAACTCAAACCATTCTATGATTCTATGAAATCAATATCTGCCTTCCACCAGGAGTTCTCTGGAGGAGGTCTGGGAATGTTGCCATTCATGTTGAACTTGATCTGAGACTAATAGTCCATCTTAGACTAAGTTGGTTAGACTTAAAGACCTTGGAGTCCTTTTCCAGCCCTGATGATTCTATGATTATAATTGTGAATGTTATTTCTTGCTCCAGAGTTAGGATTATACATGTGCATAGACCTATACCATGTCAAGACAAAAATACATATGTGTGTGTGTGTATATATATATATATATATATATATATATATATATATATATACATATATATATATATATACAAGCATTTATATGTATACACAGAAGTGTGTATATATATATATATATATATATATATATATCTATATACACTAATAATATATATGCACATATATATTAATAAATGAGGGTGGAAAAGCAAATGCAGATCCATGCAGCTGAAACTAAATTAGGCTACCCTCCTGAGGGTCTCTGTACTGCTGCAGTTCTGGATACACAGTACCTCAGTTTCAACACAGAGGACAGAGATTGTCAATATCTTTGTCAAGAAACCTTTGATACAGTCCAGATTCAGCAGAGCCTAGTAGTTTCCCTGGCTTCTTGATGGTGACATACTTGGTTTTGATGGATTTCATGGAATGAGGAGAAAGAGAGATTTGAACTTTGCTTACCGTGAGAGGTGTCAGTGTGTGCTCACTGGCTGCATATGGGAGCCCTGTGAGGTAGATAAACCCTAGGATCACAGCCATACAGGCCCAGGAAGAGCAAAGGACATTTTAACTAAGGGGTGCTTTTTTTGCATTCAGTGGCATAGATTTCCACTTTGTGTTCTCTAAAAAGTCTTCTCTGTTTACCATGAGAGTTTTTGGGTTTTTTCAATATATTATTTCTTGAGGACAACTAAACATTGGAATAACTTACTTAGATTCTCCATCTACTCAAGAATCTAAGTATAAATTCCACATCTTTGTCAGATATGAGGTCATGAAGACATTATTGGTTTGATACATGATTCACCCTTTGTCTTCGAAAAAGCTCACCAGACACTGAGAAATTCCATTTACTTTCAATCTCCTTACTTACTTGACTTTCATTATGAAAGAGGTAATTGCCAGCTTCAGTGAAGCTACAGCACTTCCATCAAGTGAGAAATGCATCCATGTGCTATATATATTTTACAGAACAAAATAAATATCATCAGACAGAGTTAGAAAAACTCTAAATACAGAACACTAAAATTCAGAATTTAAAATTTAATTTTGTAAAACTAAATCAATAACTGAACAATTATCAATGAGTTTTGCTATCATTGAAATTTTAAATAGTGCTAAATATTTTTTTTGTTTTAATCATTTGAATTTGTTTTAAAAGACTTGTCTTCTCTGCTGTTTTTTGTTTTCTACTGTCTGCTATTTCCATCATGATGCAGCAACAACATAACAATGTTGGCTGAAAGCCAGCTTGGGAATAGACTGAGCTTTCAACGGATTTTTGATGCATGAATATTTTGAGGGGGCATTTAAATGATGTTTGTGCTTCTCACAGTGTGAAAAAAACAACACTGCCAGCTTTCTTTGATCTACGGGAAACAGGCTATTATAATACAGATACAGTTAGCTGCAATAAGTACATTCAGGTAGCTTCTTTCTACTTAACAGTGCATCATTTGCTTCTACACTCACAAAGGAGGTTTTCATTCAGCTGGGGCAAAGTGCACACAGTTATTGATGGTTCAAGTATTTACTTTTTAAAATGACAGTTCTGAAAACATATTTCTCTCACTACACAGAGAGTGGGAGGGCAGTGGAAAGGAGGAGATAATTGAGGGAGCTGGAAGTGAAATGATGTTCATGTCTGTCAGATGCCATTTCCATTTTAATGACTGTAAAGAGGAGTGTCAGAGAGCTGCCACACAGCAGAGGTTTGGGTCACCACTCACAGTGTCAGATGTTGGGCTACTCCAGGCAGGCGTTCATGACTGAAGGGAAGAATGTGTCTCTTTTGCTCCTTCCCTAAGATGGACTTATACTTCTTCAGGTTTCCCATGTTTCACAACCTAAGGATTCAGTGAGATGGGAACCTTGTTGTGTTTGACAGCCTACAAACACAAGGCCATTCATCACACCTTCAGTGGGCACACCTGCAGTCTGAAATATAAATATGGATGATTTGATGAAGCAAGCAGCCCAAGAGAGGGGGAGGACAAATAATTACATGTACCAGTGTAGGCAGCCTGGCTCTGTGCACAGTTTAGAGCAAGGCACGGGTTACACTATCGGGACTGATCCTGAATCCCTTCAGCCCAGTCTCTCATCTCCATGATTTGTGAGGACTGTGTCTAAAAGAATCTGGGAGAGTAAATATGGGCCATCACTCAGCTCCTTAGTGTCCCTCCTAAATGGTCATGCTGGTGCCAAGGAACTTTTCCTGGCTGAATGCCTAGAAACAAATATTTGGTGCAAAGCTGAAGTAACATTCTGTGCACAGAGCATGAAGACTGATGCCCAGCATGCTGAAATATAGAAATCACATTATGTGAACTAACACCAATAGGAGCCACTAGGTCCTCACTATTTCTACTTTGGCAATTCTTGTTAACTGTTTAAATATTTATTTGAAGTATCCTTTAGTTATTAGCTGGTTCCCCAGCTTAATCACTCTTTCTAAGAAAAAAAAAAAGGCCATTGTTGCCTTTTATCTGCTTTGAACTTGCCAGCCTCCTTAATTTTATGGCATATTCTCTTGTCCTGTCACTAGCTGAGGAGAGAAGCACC